AAAAAAGATACAAAAAAAATGTTTCCCGGCAGTGGGATTCAAACCCACGACTTCCCGCCTTGCTAAATCCGCGATCCTACAGTGGACACAGGGTGAACGAATTATTTTTATTTTCTATTTTTTTTTATATTTTCTTTTTTTATTTTATGAACGTTTAAATAATAATTAAATTATTAAATAAACTAAAAAGAAACGCAGCGCTAGCAACGGAGGCTTTCGGCTGGTGAACGAATTAAAGTACTAATATCTCTTTATATTACCGAAAAAAATTTGTCTTCATTTTCGAGCTATCCTCTCTCATCTTAAAAAAAAACTGTTTCTAAGATGTCTATGATTGACACAACTTAAAAATCTATTCTAAACTTAAAACCTTATTTCAAAAAGAATAAGTTTTAACTTACGACTATGACTATAGGCCTATATGTTTATCGTCATCCTCAGTAATAAAGGTACTTAAAGACAATTGCGGGTAGGAAGGATATGATTGACATTAGTTATGTTTTTTACCGGAATATTAAGGGATCGCAGTTAGATAAAATGTCAAAAGCTGTATCAATGGGAATCTTTTAAGCTCCTCATCAGAGCAGAGAGTGTAACTGTAAACTCATTTAAAAATTTTATCATGAAATATTTACAAGTAGCATTTCATTCTTTTTCCTTTTGTCTGGTAGTGTGGCTTAAAGGGCCCATACATGATACCAGCATGCTGGCGCCATCGAGTGTTGGTGCCAGTCGACTGACTGTGTATGTTCTTGCGGTGTGATTGTTCCAGCTGCTGGTGCGACATCAAAAATGATTTGATATTTTTATGTTTGTACCAGCAAGCTGGTGTTGTGAATGATGAAATTAGCTCATATTTTTTTAAAGAAAAAATCATTTTCACGGAAATTTCTTGCACTATATGAGTCAAAGCCGCGTTTGTGGAAGATTATAGTTCACAATATTGCATTTGTGCATTTAAAAAACCAATGTTTAACAAAATGGTAGAAAAATTATGAAATCTCGGCTCTACTCATTTCGATCTTTTCGGGACCTAATTTGTAAAGAAATAAAGATTCTACCAGCATGCTGGTATGTTATATGCGTCGAGCTTGATAGTACAATCACTTGACGGTGTCAGCAAGCTGGTGTCGTGTATTTCCCCTTTTATAGTTTTTCAATCCACAATCATTAAAAAAATTGATTTCACACAGCGAGGTGGTAAATTTAAAAAAATTATTACAAGTCCAGCGCGATTTTCCATTCTGATTAAAAAGTTAGACATTTTTTGGGAATTTTGTTAAAATTGGTTGCTTTTATAATTTTTGTACAAAGTTTTAATTGTGGATTTATATGGTTCTTATTATATAATGCGCTAGCATTTTATAAAAAAAAATATTAAACATCGAATAAACCAAATAAAAAATATCCCAAAATTTAGTTAACAAAAATTTTCTATTATTTTTTCCACCACTGTATATATTGCACGTTTAACAGAATTATTTCAAAATTCCAATTGTGTAGAAAAACGCAATCAAAGTTTGATCAACTCATACAGTTGGTATACAAAAGGACAAATAGGAAGACCGACATCTTCGCCATTTTTTGCAAGTTTAGTTATATGTTAGGATGAACATATTAATTATCCTAATCATATTTATTGATTGTATGAAATCTCCAAAAACGAGTTTTGAACTTTGAATTTTGAACTTCTCCTCAATATTAATAATACGTGCGATACGTTGCTCAAACACTTAAAAATATTCCATCCACTTGGAATTTTGTTGAGGATATTTTACATTCCATATCGACTGCTGAATGGAAAACGCCCTATCTCAGCTGCCGATTCAAAAACGCCCTATATCAGCACATTTTCAATACATTTTGAAGTGAGATAGGGCGTTCTTCAACCAAATTCTGAGAAAGGGTGTTTTTCAATAAAATTTTGAAATAGGGTGTTTTAGAAAAGCTTTTTGAGCTTTTTTGGGCTTGTTTTCTCAATACAGTTTTTAATTTGAATTATTATTATAATAAATTTGACTTATTCCATTTCGGTGAATCGCGCAAAATAGTTGTTAAGCAAATTTCGAATGAAAGCAGCAGATTTGGTTTGCTTTTGAATACGATTTCATTGAGAGCGCTATAAAGACAGAGGTATGTATAAACGTTTGAAAGAAATATGTGTTAGTCAAATTGGGTTTTTGTTGATGCGGTCCTTGCGTAGGTATAAACAAGGTATATAATGAAGTATGTACTAATAACAGTATCTTTCACTCAAGGTGGGACTCACCCGTCTTTTGACCAAATTAAAAGGCCATGGAGAAGCGTAGAAATGCGAGACCTCATCAGTAACATGTTTATGAACACAAGCATACATACATATGAACGATGGCCCTCGACAAACAACGGCGCTACTACAAACACTTAACAAAACACATTTTGCACTTAAGTATTTAATTTAAATCACAATTTAAAAAACATTTCACTAGAACCGAAGCGCAGAAAAACGTGCAGCAAACAC